TGCCGGCGCACAATTGCAGCGATTGTAATAGCAGATGCGCGGTACGTGTGCGTATGTGGATCTTTCCGAGCTTTGGAGCCCCGCACTTACAGCTATCCTGCAGCAGCTCTTTGTGATCTAAGTTCAGTGCCCCTGGCTGTGTTCCATATCATTCGTTCACCAATGCCAGTGACACGGAGCAAGTGTCACCTTTCGCCTCAGTCTGCAGCTCATCTGTTGTGGAATGTCTCTTCAAAGGGCAGCGGCAATCACCCGCGGCAAATAATGGCTCTGCCCGCCGCGGCCGAGAGGGCCGAGTGACCGCGTCCGGCGGCCGCTGGGGCCTGGCATTGTTTAGCGGTCACCGCGGCGAGATGGTGTGTCTCGTGCGGTGACAGTGACGGCTGCCGTGTCACGACGCTGGCACGGCCGGCTGAGTGCTGACCAAAATATGCTGTTAGCTCCATCTGTAATACAAGACGGCTGATGAAATGGTGGGCAGGCTGTGTTTAACAGTGTGTTTTTAAATTCGGGTGCATGAATTTATTTTCATTGCTTATTTATTTTAGAACACTCAACTATTTTACGTCTCCGCAGATATCTGAGCATACTAACGGCCTATTTGCCTTCGATAAATGATTTAGATAGTGTCAACTATCATATTTCTGTTGGCATTTAATTTAATGGTCTAAAGACCACGGACATTTAGCTCTGAGTTAACCACATACCGTGCTGCAACTTGGTTACACGCTCTAACAGGCAGCTGGCCAGCTATCCACATGGCCTGATTCCACGATAACATTTCCGAGGCTCGCGCTCCTCTGTCCTGCCTCATCCCGGGGGCGGGCGGCATGGCTGGCTCACCAAAAAACGAGAATTCCTCAATGGACCCCGGTCAGCTGTCCCTGTGACCAGAGCCCCGCCTCTCAGAGACTCTCAATAGCGCGCCGCTGCGCCACAATCGCCCCAAACGCGCGTCACAAACGCTGCGCTGCCACGGACAGATTGGCGTACGCCGGGGATAAAAAGGCTGCCCTGCGGCGTCGCACCTGGACCCTGGGGCGGCGCGGCTCGCTTCATACGCTCTCTTCTGATTTATGTCCCCGCCTTACACCCTGGCCCGCTCCCTGGAGAAGGAAGGGGGCAGGGTTGGGGGATCCGGTCCGGGAAACCCCGCCCCCTGCCCCCGCCCCCACCCCGACCCCCGGACGCCCCGCCCAGCCCGGAAGGCGGGTCTGGCCGGCGGCCCGGTGAAATATTGCCGGCCAGCTTTATCGCGGCGGCGGCCGTTTGGTGTAAAGAAGGCCGGCTTTGTGCGCCCGACCGGCGACGGGGCCATATGGCATGGGGAGGGGATCGTATAGGAGCCCAACGCCGGCGGTCGGGCCCTGGTGAGATCGGGAAAGGCTGAATGTGCCTGTCCACATGACAACTTGAAAATCAGCATAAATTTACGGCCCTCCTTCTTCGACTGTACTTTAATCTTTTCTTGTATGTAGGTGCGAAAATTATTTAGATATGACATTTTCTTACCTCATGTCATCTGTTTTCTCGTGCCCAATATTGAAATAAAAAAGTTTAGGTCTAACAATTTAAATATTTGTAATATAGGTATTTGCAAAACGCATGTATCTTTTTGCGGTCCATAAATCTGGACTACGCCAAGAATGCATCACTCCAAACTAGAGTTCCACTCGCATTCCGTCACAAACGTGACGTCAGCTCGCGAAATGCGATAGCAGCGTGGTAGCAGCGTCTAGTGGAACACTGCCACAGTGACCTACAGCGTCCTAGTCACAACACCAGTGTCATGATGACTGCTTCCTGCGGCGAGTCCAGTCAGGTCAGGTCACGTGATCTGTGACGTCAGTTTGGGGAACGCCGGGACGTGACCGGCCAGCGCATGACTGCAGAGCGGTGCACCGCAAACAGTGAGATGGGAGTAGTGTGCAAACTGCAATGTGCGTCGGACGGTGCAGTGGATCGAGGTGGAAATAGCTCAAGATACGGAACAGCTCGTCGCATCGGGTAAAGTGAAGGAAAAACAAAACGATACATTTATTAATTGCCTTTAGTAGGGGGGGGGGTGATAAAGACACGATTTATCATTAATTTTTAAAGTTTAAATTTTTAAATTTCATTAATTTAAAAAAGGCTTTTAATTTTGTGTTTAACTATTTAAATATCAGTAAGAAATGCTCAATTGCTCTTTAAAAAATTGTTTGATGACAATCAAATAAAAGGTATTTACCTAATGCAGATGCTTCCTTGTTAATAGTCTTTCTGTCTTAGGAACGCTGTTAAACATAGACTGCACCCTTTGTCTCATAAATGAAACCTATGTAAAACAATGTAATGCCTCGTTTTTCTCCATTCAGCATTCCGCACCCATTTGCGTTTGTATCATCATTTTCCACCAAAAGCTGCACAGTGCACTCGCCTCGCCCGTTTGCACAGCACCGCTCTGGGGGGGGGGGGGGGGCGGCTAGCCATGGGTCAGGGGTAACATGTGTGTTTACTGACCGGAAGTACTGGGGAGGGGTGCGGGACATGGGGTACAGGTGTTCGTGAAATGGTCCGTTACTAGGCGAATTTAAACGGTATTCGAGGGGTGGGCAACGACCGTGGAATGGGCGGAATGGAAACACTGATAGTGTAATGAAGTGGTGCTATTTTTTTATAGCAGTGGTAGATTGATTGACTGCGAATTATTGCAAAATGGTTAGTGTGGAACACAGACTTCTCTATATATAGAGAAGTCTGTGTGTGGAAACATAAAGGAATTATGCTGGTGCTGCTTTTGTCTTCAAATGACGGTCATAAGTAAACTGCAAATATAAAACTTCATGTGATTCCAAAGTCATTTTATTTTCAAACAATTTTGCAGACACTGTATGGTGCTAAGCTAAAAAAGAGAGCTCCAGCAGCTATCGCCCGCAGAGCACGACAGCCGGACTTTGCGGACCGTCCGCTCTGAGCGGTCACCTGACCTGACCGCACGCGGTGGTCAGCTGACGGGACTTCGTGGTCAGCTGACCGCGCGATGGGTGACGTCACGAGTCACCCCACGAAGCTCTGTACAGTGGCTCTTATTCATAACATGGCTGACTGCCCAGACTGCCATTATAGCAAATGAATATAAAAATCCGCAGTGTCGGCAATGGTGAACGCCGTTTTCGCAACACCCATAAAATGAAGTCACATTTTGTAATATCAATGATATAATTGATGTAATTAGCTGTGTAGCACTATCATAATAAAGTAAATATAGTGGTTATCAAAATATCTAATCTGATCTCTACACTAAACTTGCCGAAAGTTATGGCCGTGCGAGCTATACGCTACTTAGTTGCAATACTCCTCCCTAGATGGCATTACTGGTAGACGCCTGTAAGCATGCTGTGCCGCAAAGCACAGCAGCCGCCTGGGACCCATCACCGCGCAACAAACGACATCACATCAGTTCACTGGACATGCCTCATCCCTCATTATTATCATGACGTCACTATCAACATCTGACGTCACTGCCGATGCCGACTGCACTCTGCACTATGCTGCGTGATCCCCACCGCCGCGCCGGCCGGTTCGAGTCCAACGACCCGTTCATTTCCTGCAGACAGTTGGTATCATTACACGTTCGTGCACGGCCGGGCGCGGTGCACCATCCGTGCACCCCCCCCCCCGCCCCCAGTGGACGGTGATTGGTTTGTGTCGTGTGCGGGTGGTAGGCGGCTGCCCCCCCCCCCGCCGCCCGGCCCCGTCCGCCCAGCGCGGCCGGCAGCCTCGCGGGGGCGACACGCGATGTTGATGCGGTCCTCTGATGTGTGACAACCTGCAACCAATTGTATAAATAGCAGCTCGCTTCACGATGACCGCTTTTCGTAATGGATACCCTGATCTGAAGTGGACGTTGTGGGTAGTGATTATCTATAGGACGATACCCATGGGTCGAGAGGGCGTCCTGTAATTAATTCGCTGGTCCACAGTGGTCCATTCATTGTCACGCTACCATGCACACGCCGCAGGGCAGCTCCAGTTAGCGGAACGCTTATGGCAATAATAGCTCGCTTGGCGTAGTTTCGGTTGATAACAGACATAAATGGCGCTTGCAAAAGATGGTGCAAATATTATACTGGCTTTCAGCCATGTGAAGAAACAATACCAATTCTGATGAGCTTAACATGACCTATAGTTGCGACATAACCTGTCAAAGTCGCTGGTGAAACGTGGCTCTTTTGGGAACATTTTCGTGTTGCGTACTCGCTGCTGATAAGAGAGAAGAGCTTCTGCGGTGCTGCTTGAATCAAACTTCACAATAAACTTTCTTCAGGCATGCTCCTTCCTCCATCTTATCCCTATCATTTTATCCGCAGCCTCCTTGCAATTTCTTTCAGCCTAGCCTGCACGATCTCCCTCTAATCCCGTCTCAAAGTATAGGTGTCGTTTTCTGACTTCGACCAGGCGTTTCCTCTCTCGCGTCCGGCGCCCCGCCAGCTCTAGAGGAAATTGCAGGGTGTCAATGGTCCTTGAGAGTCGACGACTGCGCCCGCCCGCTGCAGAATCAGAGTGAAAAACATCTCATCGTGCGGTGCGGGCTGAGCCCAGGTGGGCCGCTGCGACCGGTCATTTGCCGGTGGTGTGGGCAGCGATGTCGGTGACGGGTGTGCGTGTCGGCGCGGCGCTCTGTGATTCAGACCGCCGCGCCGAGCACCATTCATCGCTCACTGGCGGATCAAGGCCAGTGCCGCTGCGCTGTTGTCCTCGCGATTGTGATGGCCGCCGCGGTCGGGAGTCCGACCGCGGACGGGGAAACTGCCAGAGATGAGCCCCGCTGGATGTTTGCTCATTTCGCGCAGATGAGTCATCTCGGGCTGTTGAGTCATATGTGGTTCGTGTAAGATTGGAGGTGCTTGGTGCAACTACGTAATTTTGTCAGACAAAAATGTGCAAGTCACTGCGTGCTGATCAAAAACCCTCGTAGGTGAAACTTGGTGTTTACTTTTTGTTCTCTTCTTCCGCAGATTCGGAGCCCACCAAAGACGCCATGACCTGCCGCGTCTGCCAGCGCGACTTCGACCTGCCAGACTTCATCCGGCTAATCCAGCAGTGGGCGCTCAGCTGTTCTGCCGACCCCAGCGTTGCCCCAGACCAGCACCTGACCCGCCTGGCACTGCCCGGGGCAGAGGGAGGCGATGACCTTGAGGCACAGCGCCGCCTGGCGGCCAGTCTGCTGCGGCACCTAACACCATCTGTCCGAGACCGAGAGAACTCGGAGTGCAGGGAGCAGTCACCGACGCCGTCCACTGCATCCAGTGGATCTTCGTCGGAGAAGAAAGAGGGAACCAAGAGTGAAGAGAGGGAAGAGGAGAGGAGGAAAAGCTCGGTCGTCGATGTCGGCGCCAACACCAATGAATCAGGTGAGAGAAGTTATACTAGCTGATAAAGTCCCTTTGCAATATCAAATGCCAACTTACACCAATAGGCAATAGCTCATATTTTCCACAGTTAACTGCGTATGGTAAACGTGCTTCAAATAGGCCCAGGCTTTAATCATAAGATAAACAATCGAATGGGGCATTCCACCGTTCCGTGCTTCTATCCTCAGGATACTGAAATCCTTCTCCTCCACGCCGCAACCCTCCTCCGGGCTGGACAGGCAACTTTATCTCATGCGGGCTGCTCCCTTGGAGCGGCACCGCTGCTCCCGAGGGAGCGCACCCAGTAGCCGGGTGCAGTGAGTGCCTTGGGGCTGGGTGGCCTGTCCTCTGGACGGGCTCAGCCCCGGCGACTCACTAGGGTGCCTGCCAGACCAATGTCTCCCCCTATATCCTATCATCCTCCCGGCTCTGAAATGGTCACAATTGACCGAAAGGGCCTAACCCAACAAAACAAAACAAAAACGGGCATTCCATTCACTGGTTAACCCGCGCCCCGTAGGGCTACCGGCGGACCGTACCATCCGTAGGGGGGGGGGGCCGTTTCGGCCCCCCTAAGATCTCGGAAAGTTACCGGCCGATTTTCAAAATTCAAACGGCGTTCGATAGCCCCACCCGGGAACTACCTTGTGACCAAATTTCATTGACCTAGGTCAAACCGATGACGTCACAGGTCAGGTCAAAGGTCAGATCTTCACCGTTCACAGGCAATTCAAGAAATGTGCTGTGAAAGCGAGTAAATTGGTAATTTATTGAAAACCATCGATGGTATATTGTTCGCCAAACACATACTTTGCTATCTGAGGTCACTGATACCAGGTCAGGTCACAGCGAGGTCAGGTCACCGGGGGTCACAATATGAATGTGTCGTGTGATACATGTTTTATGGTCCATTTTACATGACAAATGCGATTATGTGGGTTAGGCAGCCTTTGGGGCCAGCCTAGGTCACGTTTTTGTGAAGGTCAGGTCAAGGTCAGGTCAAATTAGGTCAAATTTCAAAGTTGATATTTTTGCATAAAATGGGTATCGATTCGATGCAGCTCGTCACGGGGAGTCTAATGGTGGTCTTCGTTTTGCTCTACGAGTTCTAGAATTGCCAAAAATTGAGTTTGAAAATTTGACGTCATCATTTTTGAACAGTTTTTTCGCTATAACTTGGCCAAAAAACGAGGTATCGATCTGAAATTTAGTATGTAGATAGAAGACGGTAGGCACTATCACATATATTCCGGTTTTTTCGAAACTCAAAAAACTTTTTGGATTTTTTGGCGAATATATCCAAAAAAATGTTTTTTTGATTTTCGGGGGTCAAAACTCAAAAACTTCAAAAATTCGAGATAGGAGTTTTGTAGCCCTGTCAATTCTACACCTTTTATTTTGGATCATTTTTCTGTATCTTCAAAGCTGTAGTCCTGACAGGTCTTCTCGCGAAGGTCTTTTTTCGGTCGAAAATGACAGAACATGACGTCACTCTGACGTCATTTGTGGCCAACCTATCATAGCCTCTGGAAAAAATTTTTAGTCACAATGTGTAAAATTGATGCCCGGAGGGGTCCTGAAAGTTTGGTGGCGATATCTCCAGCCGTTTAGGAGATATCGACCGAAAAGGACAGGGGGGCCGTTTCGCCCCCCCCCCCCCTACGGGGCGCGGGTTAACTAGGTACACAAGTGATATATCACTAGCTATTGTTTTATCCACTTGTGTACCTAGTTATCCAGTGAATGGAATGCCCATTCGATTTGGGGACTAAGCATAACATAAATTATTTTACCGCAAACTGTGTCACTCGTCAGACACATTTAATCGATCATCATTTACCCGCAGTTTGACACTAGCTAATACCATCTCAACCAGCCATGCGCCAACCTGAAACGGTGGAGCGCGACAATAACTCACCGACGTCTCCGATCTTTAGAAACACTGCGTCGCGAGCTGCTTGCGAGAAACTATCGATCATGGCCAAACCATGAACCAGAACAACTTCTGAGGACGGCTACCGCTACAGGTGACCGGCGGAAGTCACGCACAGTGACCATGTGATTAACGGACCGCCGCAGCTCGCAACCCGTGACCACAAAGAGAGAACCTGCGACCGCTCTGCCGTCCTGGCGACGAGTGTGATGGAGGGAGAAAAAACAGACGGAGACAGAGGGGAGAACGGCACTGAAAGAAAAAAATACTCACGTTACCACCCCAAACTGAGTTGTCAAAACTCACGACGGCAACTACTCAGGTTCCCTTGGTAACTACTCCTTGGTACTCAGGAGATACTCATGTTAACACTAATGTGACTCATACATAACGTGAGTATTCCGGGTGAGTTGTCAAAACTCACCACCTAAGTACTCAGGTTTGAGTTTCTACTCAGACGCTACCCACAGTATTACCAAGGCGGACCACACACTTACTCAGGCTAATACTAACGATAACCAACTCTTAATAATGATAATACTAACCCATTTAAGATGGGTGTTACTAACGCGGATGCCAACGCATGAAACCAAAAATGCGTTCGTTAACCTTACGCTTTGCAGACGTGACAAACACGAGGAAAAACACTGAAGTTTATTACAAAAACCCATCATACGACATCTCTGCCAACATGCAATTCAAGAGCCGGGTACTGGGCGTAGGCGTAATCCGTTCAACACAACACTAAAAGAGGTCCGTAAAAAAAAACAACAATGAAACACTCCCATAGATCGCAAACACTGCGCGAGATCGCTTAGTTTTTGAACCACCTCCTACCGCGAGATCGGCGCACTGCTGCTCGAAGGGTGCTGGTATTCTGGCTCAGTAGCGCGAGGGCATGGAAAACCATGGGCCCACTTTCTCCGTCGCCATCCTTGAGACTGCAGTTTCCAGAAGACGCATCAGTGTCTCCGAAACTTTACCTATGGACCGAAAACAATAAGCTGTTAAGAAATAAAGCGAAAACTTCAGAAGACATCGGCGAGGTGTGTTAACCCGCGCCCTGCTGGGGGGGTGTTTGAACACCCCCCCCCCTTGTGGTTTTTCGCGAATATCTCAAAAACGGCGGCGCGGAGCGCCGCCGTTTTTGGTACACCTTATCATACATCAATTCTACACATGTTGTGAAAATTTCAGACCAAGGTCATTCAAGCTCAGGTCACCAGGTCACTTGAAGTGACCTCACCTCATAAAAAGTTTCAATGTCTGTCATAGCTACACCGAGTGACCGATCGCTTTGAAACTTTCAGCGATTGCTAAGAGCAATAGCATGTACAAAATGTTTATCTCAGAATTTTGATATCGATGACCTAAGGTCAGGTCAATTTTGCGACCTCCGCATTATAAGTCAATGGGAGAAAATTGAAATGCGCCTCTTTTGGACGAAAGACATTATAAACACTCCCAAGCACCGAATTACAAATGGTTTAGACACACTGAACATGAAAATGGTGTCCGTGACCCTTATTTATGCCCTGAGGTCATCTTAGGTCACGAATGCTATCTAACAGTTTTTCGCAAATAACTTTTGATAGAGGTATGCTAGAGCAATGAAAATGCCTTAGATGTGTTCAGCTCGACGATACGGATCGACTGCTATGCAACATGACCCTTTCCGGTCAGGTCATGACCTTGACCTGAGGTCAAATTTTCAAGTTGACCTTTCAAGGTCAAGGTATAGTTCATTCGATGCGTCTTGACGAGAGGAACACGATGCCGGTAAAAGTAAGCTCGTAGAGGGCTTGGGTCAAAACTTATTGCAGAAAAACTATTTCCGAAAAAAATCGGCTATTTTTGCAGTTTTTGCCCCCTGCAGGCAAAACCGTTAACGTCAGGTGAAATCTAAGAGAATTACTCAGAAAGGGCGTTAATAGGGCTATCGAATGCGCTTTTCTGCGGCGCTGTAGCTTTATTGGTTCCCGAGTTATGCGTTGGCTTCTTGGAAATTTTCGACATTCGACCTGGCAATCGGCGAAATTTTGCCTTCAATGACCTCTGGTGACCTGACCTTTGACCTGACCAAAACATTGACCGAAGTGATTTCGTCATAATTTTTGACGCTCTTTCGAACGCCGCCTTTCGCGTATCGCTACGTGACCCAGGAGCCGAGTTACAAGGGGGGGGGGTGTTGAAACACCCCCCCCCCAGCAGGGCGTGGAAATCCAGGACCCCCAGCCGGGCGCGGGTTAAAGGGAATAGTTCACTTTCACGGAATTAGTTTTTTTTTCAATGGATTTATGATTTTCTATGCTCAAAATGATCAGAAAAAAATAAAACCTTTTTATAAAAAATATTATTTTCTATATTTTAATGAAGAAAAGAAATACGATCGGCTTTGTATCGGATTTGGTGACGATCGGCGCAGCGCTTCTGGAGATAGGTATATCGAAAACACTCATTATATAAAGATATTTGTTAAAAAAGATTTGGTGCATGATTGGTCAAATTAGGTGCATTCGCCAAATAACCCGTCGTGAAAACGGCTAGTGTTTTTCTTTTGACAAAGCATGTCGTGGTAAATTATGCAGATGGCATAATTATTAATTATATCTTATATACTGACACTGTGATCGCAAGATACAGAAAGAAGTAGAAAAAAATTAGTAACTTTTTAGGAACCTGTTAAGATGAGCTATAGATCTCCGTACCTATCGAACAGGAGCAGGCAGACTTCACATTCTGAAGCCACCCGGCGGCGAGCATCCGGCGTCGATCGAGGCGAGCGTCTGCACCGGCACCAGCCCTGGCAGTATGCAGTGCGATGGTATATCCAAAAGAAACTGTGAAAGGAGACATACAGTCGGTATATTTTAATGACACATTTTTTGACACTGAATTTTTTTTTTGAAAAAAACTATTTCCCTACCTTAATATATCCAACACAACCCAGAGGAACCCAGCGGATAAAATATTTACATAATATTTTCACGTATTTAATCATCAAAACTTTTCATAGAACAAAAGCATTGACTATCATCAAATACGCATTCCATTATTAAAATAACACATACAAAGCACAAATCTTCACTAATTACCTATCATTAGGGCACATCTCTCTTCGGAGATGTGCTCTCACATCTCCCTCATCTCTCACGGTACATTATGCCTAGTTCCTCGCGACACACAATTGCGCTTGTGGTCATTGATCAATAATAAATATTAATAAGGTAAGTATATGAACATACTTACTATTGGCCTCGGAATCCGAGTTTCAGTTTCTGCACACCAAGTCCATAAAATGCTGCACACGCGAGCGACGCACTTTCACCACCAAGCAACGGAATTCAACTGAAATAATGGCAGACGCGCGCGAAACGTGCGCGGCGGTGCCACATCGGCTCAACCAATCAGCGAGCTGGAAGCATACTCACGGCTAGATTACTAACCACATACTCATGATCCTGAGCATAAATACCAAGCATCGATGAGTATAGCCTCACACCATCGCAGGAGCTACGAACGAACTAAGGCATCGTTGGTAAATACGTTAGTTTACCTGAGTATGACATGAGTCTTATCCTGAATAAAAGAGTTAGTTTCCATAGGGTGGTAAAATTTTTTCTCAGTGGGGTGGGACGGACGAACGAAGCCAAGAATGTACGGACGAAAAGGCGGGCGGATGAGTGGACGAATTCACGGATAGGCGGATGAATTAATATTTTGACGGACAGGGCAAACCGACAAACCGAAGGAACGACAAGACAGACAAGCTGAATGACCGACAGACTGGCTGATGGACTGATCTGACCGGGGCCACCCCGACATTATCCAACCCGTGTCACTGCAGCGCCGTCCGCAGCGCTCGCCGGTCGCCGATCTGCCCATGCCTGTCATGAGGTCCAGCGGCGCCAACCGCGTTCTATGACCGGTCGTGTCACCGGTGGCGGTGCCACTTCCGCCAGTCGTCGACGAGCCAATAGAGCCACGTCCGGCGCCCGGTCCGGCCGGAAGTGGCCGTCGGTGACCGCGCCAGTCGCTTCCGGCGGTGGCGCGCCGTGCCGCCGCACCTGAGCCGCTGGGGAGGGGGGGGGGGCAGGGGTTTGCTGCGGCCGGGATGACATGACTGTCCGGTCGTGCGTCATGCCACCGACGGGACATGCGAGTTTGTTAGAGCGGTGAAGAGCCTTTCGTGGACGGGAGCGATATTTTTCGCCGCTATGACCATGAGAATCAATAGAACCGACTGTCATGATGAAATTGGACTTATAAATTAAGGTTGTTAGTCCATAAATGTCTGCCGGTGGCTGCCGCTGAATAGAATAGCAGCCATACGTTACATGGCGATGTGTTCGAGATATGATAAAGCAATTAACAAGTGCATCAGCATAAATGTGTGATGAAAACTGCTAGTGACATGATGCGAAGCAAAAACGAAGGTACCTAAACTGAATACCAGCTCACGTAGTTCACAGCTCACGTAGTTAGTTCACAGTTCACGTAGTCCACAGCTCACGCATCTCCTATCTCACACAGCTCACAGCGCAAGCAGCTCACGCAGCTCAGAGCTCACAGCTCACGCAGCTCACTCAGCCTACAGCTCACGCACTTCCACCAGCCGTCGTGATTCTGTCGGCCGCTCGCTCCTCAGGTCGTGCCGTGTGGGGGCGGCACACGTCAGTGGCGTCTCACACCAAGGTTGGGGCACACCGGGGCGCCGCCGAGACCCTGATTGATGGCCCGCAGCTGACCCTGTGTGGCCACCAGGTCGACCGTGTCCGACCACCTTCATCCGTCAATGTCGGCGCCTCCGCCCGCTGCTTTGTGTTTATATGATCCCTAGTCCAGGCGAGAGGCAGACCACAAAACGAGCAGAGATTTCCGCGAGGTGCTAAAAAACTGGCGCTTCTGAGCGATTACCTTCGTGCTAAAATGGTAAACCCTAGGTGTGGAAATGGTGATGGTATGTGTTTTTGATCGATATGTGACACTGAAAGCGATATGTCAGGTTATTACCATAGCATTAAAAGCCATTCAGTCAACCGTTGAGGTAATGAAGAACAACGTTCATGAACGGCCATGAAAAGTATCAACTGGTGTCTGGATCATGTTTGCCGGTCGGCAATATTACTAGCATCAATTGGAGTGTTAAGGCGAGTTCCCTACATTGTTTATTGTTTATGAATTTCCTGACCGTTTTTACTTTCCCATGGCGTACAATATTCCGAGTCTACTGTTCATAACAAGTTATTCTACTATACTCTGTTCCGTTTCAAGTTTGCAGCCGAAATGCCCTGCTGAAAGCAGTGCGCGATTTCTATATATACAGCTCTTACATTTTAAGACGCAAATTCTTGAGCGGAGGAGCGATCTGCCGAAGAAACTCCAACTGCAAGCTTGATATGGAACAGACTATAGCCAGTTTCATACCATGCCTGTTCTCTTTGATCTGCCCTAAATATATGCACAGCTTGCACAGGGTCAGACGGTTTCCACTGGCAGACATAAGCAAAAACTGCCGCGGTGAAGCAGCTCCGACATATCGTCGAGGGGCTGTTCGCGTGCTATATGTCGGACCTCGTCCCCGTTTGATCGAATAATCAGTGTGGGATGCTCCACCGTCCGACCGTTTGGTCGATGTCATATGACGAGACTCTGTCGTGGCGGATTCGGCGGTGGTCAGGGCAACGTGTCTGCCCCGTTGTGTGGGCCTGTTCTGGTGTCTCAGGCTGTTGGCAAATTGTTATTGTTATCTCTCACTGTGCTACATTGCTAGCTAGGTGGTGGATTTGACTGTCAGCCACGATTGTGGAACACAGACAGGATAGCCATTGGTGGGAAGCACATTAGAAATAGAGCTAGCTATGTCCAGGAAAAGATATGGACCTTTTAAAATTCACATGATAGATGAGTGCTATGGTATTGCGGAGCTGGCATCTGTACTTTTACGCCAACTTATGGTCACAAATTCAAACATCACTACTAGCTTGCCCCCAATGACCCCACCACGCACGCTGCGACCTGCGACAGTTCCGGTGTGACGGCGGCGACAGCCTCCTAATGGCACTGTGTGCCGTGTCGCACCGTACCAGCTCCAGAGGGACGATAACTTTGTCCGCGAGCGAGAAGCCGGGACTAAATTATTAATATAACGCCTGCCCGCGGGAAGCCAAGGCGGTGAAATGGCAGACGACACGGCAGAATTGACAAAGTGGTTGAGTTGGAGTGGGTCACTACCCCACATTAGTGTCTGCTTCTGTGAGAGCCAAAATATCAGAAGAGTAAACCTACAATCGCTTACCCGAACACGAATACATATTAAACAGCTGTAGCGTGGTTTCAAAGTGACAGGGCCGTTATACTTCGCTAAGCACTTAATTTCAATGGTTACAGCTATCGAATGATGCCTCGACATTATGCTTACGTCAGGCTTCTCTTCGTTTCAGGTCCTTGGAGCTACGTATGCTTCACGTGCAAGGAACCGCACAGTTCGGCCTGGGCACTGGTGCGACATGTTCAGGAGCGGCATCAAGTCAAAATCTACGAGGATAACGCCACCAACCTCCATCGTTCAACAACATCGTCTCCTGCACCAGCAACAAGCACTGAGAAAATGTCCGATGAAGTGCCGTCACGGACAGAAGGATCTCCGTCGCCATCGGATGACGCCCCGAAGCCCTGCTCTCCGTTACCAGGACCCTGTTCTCCCTCCATATCAGTCTCATCACCGGCCCAAAGCTCAATCTCCCCTGAATGCGACTCCAGGTCAGAGTCTCCGAGTCCGCCACCCGCCGCTCAGGCCTGCTCGTCCGAGGGCGCCGTCTTCCCACGTGGTGGCAACGCCTCCGCTCCTGGGGAAGATTCAGCAGAGCACGTTACTTCGTTTCCATCCGTGGACGAGCCGCAGCCGATCGTTCGGGAGGCTACCTCACCACCTCGCCTCCAATCCGACCTCAGCAGCCGTCCTTCACCCATCCCTGTTCCAGTCCGACCGACGAGCCGCGACTTCCGAGTGGAGAACATCCTTTCAGAAAGGTTCCGCTTTAACTCCCTCACTGAGGACATCTCTCGTACCCTGCAGCCGCCGTCAAGTGACTCTCTAAGCACCGATGCTGAGCCTCTCATGAAGAGGGCGCGGCAGTCGTCTCCACCCACAAATCTGTCGGCTGTCACAACCAGTCCCGCCACGTCCCGTGATCGTCCCAGAGCCTGCGAGTTCTGCCACAAAGAGTTCCGTTTTCAAAGCAATCTTGTTGTCCACCGTCGTATCCACACCGGTGAGAAGCCGTACCGATGCCGCATCTGCAGCCACGCCTGCACACAGAGCAGCAAACTGAAGCGACACATGAAGACGCATTTAAACGAGCTGGATCGCGCGGCAGCAGCTGCTGCCGCTGCCGAAGAGCTTCGTGAGGATGCAAGCACCCTGGACGAGGAAGAAGCTGAGGAGCGTGCGAAGGACGAGCGAGAGTCGGGTGAACAGGACGTTGATGCTCCAGAGGATCAGCCGGAGGACCTGTCTACTCGACGAACAACTACGAGAAAGACGCCCTCTCCTGCGCCAGCACCGCCGACCGCAGCAAAGCCTTCGCTGGTCGGTGAACTGATGGACAAGTTTGGTCTATCGAGCATCAATGCATACCGGGATGCTTATCGTCAAGCACTACAAGAATCAGGCAAGGAGAATGCCACGGACAAGACCTCTTCCCATAACGTTGCTACCTCTCTACCCCTACATCCATCTTCGGTACCGATGCCGTCTGTTTCCTCTCCCAGCATCAGTACCTTGGAGCAAGCGCGCCGACTTCGCCAGGAGCTGGAGGCGGGACCGTTGCGCGGAATGTGGCTCCCACCGCTGCCTCTCCCCAGTCCTCTGGGTCTGCCTCCGTCCCTTCCTCCTGCTTTACTACGCCACGCCAAGGCGGCAGAGAGTGCGCTGGCTGCCTCGGCCGAGCTGGGGCTGAGCGGGTTCCGACCTGGGTCACTGGACTCGTTCAAACTCCCCGGTGGGGTGGACGCATACAAATTGCCCACCGGTCTAGACGCCTATAAGCTTCCGGGTAGCCTGGATGGTTACAAGATTCCCACTCGACAGGACAGCTTGAAACCGCCCACCACTACGGAGCCATTCGGCCTGAAGCCGCCCTCGGTCGCCGCAGCTACCCTCGGCCTGACCCGCCGCCAGAGACGTGACACCTGCGAGTACTGCGGAAAGGTCTTCAAGAACGGCTCCAATCTCACCGTCCACAAGCGGTCTCACACGGGTGAGAAGCCCTACCGCTGTCGGATGTGCAACTACGCCTGCGCACAGAGCAGCAAGCTCACTCGGCATATGAAGACCCACGGCCGCATGGGCAAGGACGTGTTCCAGTGTCGATTCTGCGGCATGCCCTTCTCAGTCGCGTCCACCCTCGAGAAGCACATGCGGAAGTGTGTTGTCAGCAAAGCCAGCAAGGCCTCGTTCATGCCGTCAGTGCTTCCTGGCCAGTCATGAGAACAAGAACGAGAACAGTGTTTACAGTGTGATTAGGTGGCGTTATTGGGGACGCTTGTGCGCGTGCTTCGGTAATGTTCTTACAACCCTATCCATGACGATGGTGTTCTGTGATGTCACAAGTGTGTACGTTTGTGCGGGAAATATGGCAGAGCGAGAACAATGACTACACTGTGATTCATAGGCGAACAGTATGACGTCAGAGTCCTGACGCAGGAAGGTTGTCGCTCGTTCCACGTCATGTGTGCAAAGAATGTGTGAATAGGATTCGTCGGGAACATTGGGGAGTGTGGTGACAGCGAGTCCAGTGCCCGATACCGCACCAAGGAGAGTTAGTATTGGAGTGTGTGCTGACAAAGTACAACGTTCGCACGCAGTATTAGGAACTCATCAGCTTTAAGGTCACTTTGCCGATAACCAAAAATGCGCACGCATGTGAATGTGGTTTTTACTTGGAGTTGAGTGCCTACGTGTTGACTTTAGGAGGCTGCTCACTAGAAGTGTTCTGTAAGGAGCATTTGCGGGTGTTCGGTAGAAGAGTGTTCATTTTAACTCTCAATTACTTATAGAATATGTGCTAGATGCAGTTTGTAAATAGCTCACCAAGTTTGAAGTTCATTCACATACTTGAGTTTCCAATAGATGAAGTAAAAGCAACACGTTGAATTTACGTCCTCTCTAAAGATGAGAAACGTAAATGTAGGGAACATGTAAATGGAAAGCACGGCAATAAAAAATGCAAACCCACCGTTTGTTTTCATTGTAAACAGCGTCATTAAGAATGCGGCTACAAAGCAGTCCAGGGATGTTTGATAGTGTATTTGTATTGTTTCACAGATGAATATCAATTTAGACATAGTTTGGTCGCCCTTCTCTTCCTCAATTCAGTATACTTTCAAAAATTTTCTCGAGTTTTCTTAAAAGCATTCATTTTGTTTAAAGTCTATCATCTATGTAATCGATGAAAATCTTACTTTAAAAAATGGGCGAAAAATACTTTTTATCTACTTCAACTGCTGAATTTAATCACAGAAATCATCATCCGAGGCGTTCTCTCTGATCCAGTCAAGCGCCTCGGTGACTCTGGCGTATACCCCCGGGTAGTCAGGCTCGGCACACTCCTTACCCCAGGAGACCACGCCGATCAGGCTGAACCTGCCGTTCCTCTCGGCGACTAGTGGCCCTCCGCTGTCCCCTTGGCACGCATCTCGCTCTCCGGCGCCGTCAGCACACAACATCGAGTCTTTGATGCTACCAGGATAGGCCCTTTCGCAGGCGGCGTTCGAGATGACAGACACGTGCGCAGAGCGCAGAGTGACGGACAACTCACCCTTCCAGCTGAGCATGCCGTATCCACTGACTGTTGCGTTCGCGCTGAGATACGTGTCTCCGGGTGCTGGTAGGCAGGCGGGCGCGATAGAACCGTCGGCAGGGAACTCGATGGGCTCTGAGAGACGAAGCAGGGAGAAGTCATTACCGTTGTGGACCTCGCTGTAGCCACTGTGCTGAATGATCTCTGTGACGTCGAACCGCAGCGACTCCGCGTCCGGGTTGAAGACGCGGTCAGACCGCACCATCACAGCGAGCCGGTCGGCGGTCTTCCCGCTGGTGCAGTGTGCAGCGGTGAGCACGAGTCGCCTGCCGATCACGGTCGCTCCGCAGCCGGCCCAGCCGTGACCTCGCCACATCAGCGCCGCCTGCCACGGCAGATCCTGCGGGTCCGTCTCTCTGCCACCCACGATCCTGTTGGACGAGCTGCTCCGGACGATACCGCAGCGACAGGAGCTGCTGGACGCTGAGTAGAGACTGGGCGATGGTGCGGCCAACGTACTGCTACACAGGAATACAATGGTGATAGCGCTGAGTCTCATGATGTCTTAGATGATGTGTCTTGACACACCCTCTCGCCTGTCGGTGAAGTACGACTCTGACGAGCTGTCACTGGCCTCTGCGCGATACACGAGCGGACGCCACTGGCCGTGGTGAGGGCACACTTGTGGTAACGAAAGGCAGCGCCCCAGCAGGTGCGTCGCTCAACGTATGACGTCAGGAGAGGGAACGGCATGACAAAGTATATAAGGCACAGCTGTTTGGCGATCTTAATTAAAAACGAATGACATTGGATATTTTTGCAGTCACGAACCGGAACCTGTGGGTGTCAGGATGAAGATATATAGCCAATCCATCGGCTAATAAAACCGCGATGTTGGCCGCAGAGTACCTACGTAGGTAGATATATCATAACTATCCACCTGTGCCTTTTAGATTCAAACTAATTCTTGAATTTTCAACACACTCCAAGCCTGCAACTTTCCGCCTAGCGTACAGCCCTCAGCAGACTGCGTGGTAGGTATTCTTTTTTCGACAAAACCGATAATAGCTCAAAGGCTAAGCTATCAGTCGGTCGGAACTCATTGCACATAGATGCGCCATGCTCCACTCCTTCGATTAGGTCTATCAATAAACAAACTATACGCCTTGTGTGGCAACAAAATGCAAAAGGTTGTTTTGGGGGCAAATATAAACTTTTGGGTTTTGTTGCCGAACTAGATGGATAATGAATACGGTGATGATGCCAACCTAAGGTACGGAGTCTCACGCGTCTTGCTGTTACGATTTTCGAGTGACCGATAGCATGGTATTCGCGTTATTCTCTTTTTTGTCGAAAAAAGAATACCTACCACGCAGTTTGCAGAGGGCTGTACCTACGCATTATGCAACTTTTGACCTCAATGCCTGCATTTCCCCGCATCTTCCTTACGACGGGTGTTCCACTCCTTCCCTCAGACCTTTCCGTGGACTGTAAATGACAGCGCCATATCCCTCCGCATTACTGACGCCTGGCCGCCGTCGGCTGGACGCGGACGGTGGGCGTCCCTGCGGCGTATTTGTCATCTGACGCTGCGGCAATATCGGCGCGGCGGCGACGTTGGCGGCGCGCGGCCAGCGCTCAGCGACCGGGGCCTGCATAAAACACCCATCAATAACAGGACGGGCGCGTAATTTGAGGACGCTCCCTGACGGATGACCCAAATGTCGAAAACCGGCCGGGGAGAGGAACGCTTGGTCTTCAGTTCCTACAGGGATTCCACATTTCACCATGCCTACTTGGTGTTGCATCCTTCACAGGGCTGTCTCATCCCTATCTCCGTAACGTGTCGTGTGCGACCAATGACGTCACGGCATTGCGGCGTTCTGATTGGGCGGCAGCTCCGAATCGCCCGACTGGTGGTCCCCGCTCGACAAGCGCACGTGCACCGACTATAGGCATTTGTAGTGGCATTGACGGCAGAAAAAGTGAGCTAATGCAGAGCTCTGAATATACTTGAATAGTGTCTAAGCCGGTAGTAATACGTAAAAACGTCAGATAGGTTTCTTGTTCGTCTTGATTTGAGCTTTTATATGATACGATTTTTACCTTGGTGTCGAGTCTGGCAGCTATGTGGGAGAGCCCTAAAGTTGGGTCATTTTCCATAGGATTGCATTACAGCCGTCCGACGCTTCGTACCTGTGACGTCACGGAAATCGCTGCTTTGGCCTAATGAGCATACCTTCTATATAGGGCCTTGCATCCTTCACAGTTCGCCATGCTAATGCAACGCATTGATAAGGTTCACGAGACGGAAACTGAGCAAAAGAAAAGGCAATGGCCGTTAGTGTATTTCAATAAGAACGTGCATAGCTGGGCAGCCACACTTCCAACAGTCCAAGATCGTTTCTAGAGGATACATTTTAAAAGTCAAGTTAACCTATTCATTTCAATTTTACATCACGATTCCATAATTTTCTTAGAATAAGGGTATATAATCCATTGGACTGGTTAACAAATGCTGAGGAAGGCTCATCCCTGTCCGTATCTGAATCACTTTGGTGCTGTGATACCGGCCATTTTGCTGTAGGACTCGGACCGGTCAGTCGGCGGCCATTTTAAGCTGCCGGACCGGTCAGTCGACTGTCGACGACCGTCGGTGCCCGCTCTCGGTCGCCGTCGCCAGCCGGCCGGTCGTTTTTCTGCGCCACTAGACTGGACCGGCCACCGCACTGGCCAATCGATGTCCGGACGGCCGCCATCTTGTTCCGCCATCTCTTCATTTTTTAACGGTTGATGTTTAAATGCAACATGAAATCATTCAAAATTGAATATAGCGATGTCATAACTCATAAATTAGTCATAAATTAACTATGAGATCGAAGCCCAGCGGAATAAATATTGAATGCAGTCTGCGTGTCACTAGCTCATTGTGCACAGCACCCATTATAAAGATGAGCATTGAGCATTTTATGCGAGCTGTCTGGATACCTAAGTTGTTTATCTGTTTATTTGATCGCAGAAAAGCACATTATTTGGATAATTCAACAGATTCGATATGTTTTCACGTTCTATCAACTGTGGGGATGATTGCATGATCCCTAATCCTATACTTATATTACCCCATAGTGAATTGATCCATTGGTGGCTAACCGCAGGTTGTTTCTTCATTAGACAAACACTATTCGTTAGTACAGACAGCCGGTCGAGGACGCTGCGGGTGGCATACCCGAAAAAAAGTTTCCCAAAATTCCAAAAAGCTTATCTGACCGATTCTTTACGCACTGCCGTGCCATTTGAAATAAACCCCCGATAAAAGTGGTTGAGATTTCGTTTTCTTCTGGGAAAAACGAAAATTTTCGTCTATTCTGGGCTATATGTAGGGGGGACATTTGCCCCAAATGCCCCCCTCCCCCGTATAAACCAGTGATTTGATCACGGGGTATGAAGACGGAGGCGGAAATGAAGACGGACATGATTTCCGATGGAGGATGGACAACTCGTCACAAAGAGCCTTCAGTGACCTGACTAAGACCAAGCAATAAGCTTGAAAACGGGGAAGACTATCGAATGGTATAAACAAATTGTATACAGCATGATGAGTTACAACCGGTGCACTCTCCATAAAAATGCCAACTTTCGCCTCCATGTGTTTCGAAATAGAACAGAAGGGAGACGATGACATATGCAACGATACCTCATGCCTACCCGTATGGTGTCGAATGTTGTTCTTGCAATGTTCTAGCTAAAGAAGAAGAAGCAAAAAAAATCAATATCTGTTAGTCAATTTTTCGAAGAATGTCTGAATCGAAAAAAATGACCTTCGATTAGCTATAGGTATGCTCAATCTGATCTGACCTTCAAAATCACCTTCTTGGCTTTTAATGACCTTTTGAGGTCATACAAATCGATAGTACCTATATCTTACGTTTAGGGTCATTTTGTGGGTCTTGGTGACTTAAACTTAGTTGAACTATGACCTATTTTTATCAACCGTACCTACAGAAAAGATGTTTGAAAAGGTGCACCAAAAACACTAGTCACTACGCGACTCGTATTTTACAGACGTTCACGGATTTCAGTACGATTGGATTTCTACAGATGGATGCTCTCTGTTATCCTCACCAGACTAACGGTAAGGCATCCCTTCTCTGTCACACTTAGATACCCCATGTCCTCGATGTTCCATGAAGTCTTTCAGGGCATAAGTGCCCCGTTTTGTTGGCGTTTCAATGTCATTCACAGGTGGCGCTACACACCCACTGGCAGAGGGCAGCACGAGCTAAGCAACGTGCATCGTGTACACAGGGCACACTGCTCAGCGCACGGTGCATTGGTAAATGTGGTGGGCTGGCGACAGGGGCGTAGGCAGGGGGGGGGGCCACTGGGCCATGGCCCCCCCTTGGGCGCCGAAGGCGCCCTTTGCGATTGGAGGGCGCCGAAGGCGCCCTCCAATCGCAAATGCAATTGTGATATAATCGAATCGAAAAACAATCGCGACTGGAGGGCGCCCTCCAATCGCGAATGTGTTTACAGGGAAAATACGGATGGAGGGCGCCCTCGGAGGACGCCCATTCCAAATACGCCCTCCAAATACGGTTGGAGGGCTCCCTCGGGCGCCCTCCAACCACATTTGTAGGCTGTAGCTCTCTAAGCGTAACGGTGGTCGCCTATGTAAGCCGCTGTCCTGTAAATAAGCGCCCTCTCACCCGAAGGCGCCCTCCTGTAGGTCACCACCCTGCTACACATTACCGCCCTTCTGCTGATCGGCGTCCTCATAATTATTGGCGCTCTCCTACCTATTGAGCCCTCATGTGAAATTTTGAAGGCCGCCTTTCTCCCTTTTGGCACCCTCTTGTTCAGTGCCGCCCTCCTACCTATTGGTTCCCTAGTCCTTCCTGTTGAATGTTAATCGGGGCCCTTCTCCTATTGGCGCCCTCGTGTAGATCGCCGCCCTCCTAACCACTGGCACCCTCCTGTTGATCACCGCCCTCCTATCCACTGGCACCTTCCTGTTGACCAGCGTCCTCCGCACAGACGCCCTCCTGTTCGTGTCATCCTCTTGAGCAAAGGCGCCCTCCTCACCATTGCCACCCCCATTTTAATCGTCACCCTTCCGCTCATTGGCGACTTCCAGTTGATGACCGCCCTCCCACCTATTGGCGACCTCTTGTTGATCGCCACCCTCCTATTGGTGCTCTCCTGTTCCTCGCCACCCTCTTACCTGGTGGCGCCCTCCTGTTGATTGTTGATCGGCGCCCTCCTACCTATTGGTGCCCTCCTGTTGATCGCTGCCCTTCTATCCATTGGCGCCCTCCTGCTGCTCGCCAACTTCCTACCTATCGGTGCCCTACTGTCGAAACTCGGGATGTTGATCGGGGCTCTTCTACCTATTAGTGCCCTCCTGTGGATCGCAGCCCTTCTACCTATTGGCAACATCCGTTGATCGCTGCCCTCCTATCATTTATTTACTCCTTTGGCATGTTTTTCAACTTAGTCGTTCTATTGCACATAGTTGATGTCTTGCCTGTGAAAACTGCCACAAATGAACGTGCATTCAGCACAATGAATGAAGTATCTATACCTACCAAAACTATCTACGCTCTACGATGCATAAAACACGTCTTTGGTCTTAACGGATTGATCCTA